TCTTTAAATATAAAAAACGTACTTGCAGTCTGTGAGTCAGAACAGCCGGCATTGTAGTCTACTCTTCCAGGATCAGGAAACAGTCCTCCATAAAATGCGCTGGACACATCTGAATATTTGGGTTGAACTGTTCTGGAACAGTGTTGTAAATACAACTTAACCACTGATTTCTAGTCGTGTCCTCTTTTTCACAACGAAACACACGGCGGGCTAGAGTGAGCGGCGGCCAGTGGGCTTGCGGCAAACACATGTGACGACTCCGGGCTGGACTCCGCTTCTTCCATGGTGAAAGCCGATCTGGCGATCCACAGTGCGAAGTTGATGTATTTCCTCAGCAACTCCAAGCATGACAAAGCGGATATCGTCCTCTTTTGGAAGGCCAAACAAAGTAGTTTCGGTTTCACAACGAATCATCCAGCGCCTTCACGACATGGCGGCAGCAACAATACTACAGCGAGAATAAAAGTTATGCCTTCTTTCTTTGCGTGAACCTTTGGGCAGCGTTATGCAAATCTTCCCACATCGTGACGTAGACATGGGGGGGCGTATTAGAACGAGCCGTTTTAGGTAGGCGTGGCTGACTCTTAACTTTTATAAAGAATATCTCTTTGGATTTGAGACTTTAGTCTTTGCAACTTTACAGATCTTCTTTATGCACCAAGAGCTTGTAACTCTTCAAAGAGAAAGGAAAAATTTAAATCGCATCATATGACCCCTTTAAGTAAAAAATGTCTGGGAAAAAATGGATGTTTCTTACAGTTTTTCGCTTCACAAGACATTAACTGATGGACTGGGGTCATGTAGATTACTTGTAGATTATTGTGATGTGTTTATCAGCTGTTTGGGCTCTCATTCTGACGGCACCCATTCACTGCAGAGGATACATTGGTGAGCAAGTGATGTAATGCTACATTTCTCCAAATCTGTTTTATGAAGAAACAAACTTATTTACATCTTGGATGGCCTGATGGTAAAGAGAGTCAATTTTCAGCAAGTTTTCATTTTTGGGCGACCTACTCCTTTAAGTGAACAATGGAAACTAGACAAAAGAACAAACAGCACAAGAAGTTTTGGACTGGGGCTTTATTGATTTAATTTATTAAGATGCTACATAGTCCAACAAAGTTGGGGTTTCTTTATATACCATTATAGACTACTTGACTAGGAATATCAACCTTAATTATCATCTTAGACTCATTTATTTATTTATATACATACAAAACGGTCACCTTCATGTTTACATCATATGTGAAGGTTTGGGGCACTATAATAAGGTTTAGGTATAATTACAAGCCAGCTGATTGGCTGATAGGCCCCCAAATCCCTCCCTCTCCATGGCAATCATACTCATTGGTGAACTATACATAAACTGCAGTCCAAAAATCACTATACCCTGAACATACCTCCTAAAGTCACTTACAAAGCAAAGTTTTGCCATATGACATTATTGTAAGCTCCTCTGTTCTTAGAAATCCAATATCAGCCAAAGGCAATCAACTGAAACAAAAGCTTCTCAAAAAGGGGGGCAGAAGAGGAACATTAAAGAAAAAGACACCCCCACAACAACAAACTATGACACAAATACATATCAGGTCACAAAATGGTCCCCTGTAGGAAGAGTCTCTTGATGTAATTTCGGTTAATTCACAAAGATCAGACCGTTGTGCATGGGAAGATGACATTCTTTATATGTAGTGTATTTTTATTACAAACAGTTCTGTGCAATAAAAGCTTTATTCATAACTTAAATCCAGACAAAACAACTAAATTAACTTCAGAGGACAGCAAAGAAACAGAGGGCTCAGGAAAACAGTGCAGAAATGTCAGGAGTGTTTTTTTAATGCCTTATGCTGCGAGATAAACCAGTGTTGTGTACATTTCAGACCACCGACGAGGCATATTGAAGCCATGCATTTATCTGGAAATGAGGTGTAGGCTTGGCATGGCTAAAATACAGGTTACAATACTCACATGTGTGTTTTTAAGGGAATAGTTGGCTCAAGAATCAACATTTTGTCACCGTTTACTCCCCATCATGTAGTTCATTTTATTCACTTGAAATCCAAAAGGAGATGCCACGCAGAATGTCCAAGCTGCTCTTTTCCATAAAAGTGAATGGGGATTTATTTTGAAATGGCAAAAAAACACCATAAATGTGATCGAAACAACTTCTGCACTATATATGCTGAAGTCATATGATAGCTTTGTGTGAAAAACACTGAAATTTAAGCTTTTTTCCACTAATAACCTTACATTGGAGCTCTCAAATCTCAATGTATCATTTCATACAGTATGCCAACATAGAATATCATATGGAAAATAAATATATCATATTGTACGCCAAATGCAAACACAAAGCTATTCACATATGTAGGGTTGCAAAGGGGTGGAACATTTCCGGTATATTTCTGGGAACTTTCCAAAAATCCCTGGAACATTCCCAAAAAATCCTGGAAAGTTTCCAAAATTTCTGGAATATTTCCGAAACTTACTGGAAATTTGCCACCTTTTTGCAACCCTATTGATATGGCTTCAGACAACTTGGAATACAGCGCAAAAGATGTTTGGACGAGTTTTATGATACCTGCATGGTGTTTTTTTCACGCTTTGAGAGCATAAATCACCATCTACTTTCCTCTGTATGGAAAAAGAGCAGATCTTCATAACATCTCCTTTTGTGTTTCACAGAAAGAGCTGGAACAACATGAACATTATGACAAAATGTTAAAGTTTGGGTTAACTATACTTTTAACTACTTTTTTGGAGGGTAAAGTGAGAGGAGTCAGTGTTTATGGACCTGATGGTAAACACTCCTCGTGGCAACTTCAGATAGAAAGTTCATAGGGAGAGAGACCTTCAACCAGTTGCATGTACATGGTGCATCAAAAGTTATGCTTAGCAGCTGCACTTTTACTGTATATAATGACTTGATCAATAAATTAACTCCGGTCTACAGGTAGCAGAATGGAAACAGAGGTGTGATAAAAGGGCCTGAAAAGGACATTTCACCTATGGAGCAGCTTAATAAAATATAAAGTATTTATTTGCTCTCAACAGAGCCATGCATTCAAGCACATATCCCTTACCTAGTTAGATGACAGAAATAATCTGGGGAGTTATGAAAAGTGCTTTTGGCCCTGCATTCGTCTCATTAAACAAGCAGCAGTAATGGTCCACGGCTGCAGCTTCACACAGCGCTGATGAGTAAGACCAGGTTATCTTCACTTCCGTCTCTCAATATGTTCATCCTGTGGCCGTTACAAATTCATACAATATGGTGAATGAGCACAAAAGTCATGTATGTGTTGTTCAATGGCAGATACGTATTGTCAATACCTAGAGAGCAGGATGGCAGATATAAATAGGGCATTTCTTAAACGCAGCCTGAACATAGTCAAAGGGCCAAAGTTGTCATGAAAAACTTAAAATACTATGGTTTTTGCACAACAAAAACCTTTTAAGTGGACATCAGAGGAAGAAAATGAATTAAAATGCATAATAACCACTTTAAAGATAAGACACAATGCCTGTAATTAAATTTAAGACAGCATTTAGAGAAAGTGCACTCTTAAATGCCATTATGAAACCTTTTATTGTGTCTCATTTTTATTGCCTCTAAAATCAAGTTAGTAAATGAAGTGATCGTACAAGAATTGATCAAAAAGCATTTGTGTGTAAAACCCACATTTAATTTATTTATATTTCCAGTCATTTATTTATTTGAAGTACTTAATCTAAATTCAATTCTGTTCTATATACTATCATTCAAAAGTTTGGGGTCAGATTTATTTATTTTTTGCAAGAAATTAATAATTTTATTCAGCAAGGATGCATCAAATGAATCAATGGTTAGAGTTAAGACATTTATAATGTTATATTTAAACCTGCACAAAATTACAGTTTCCACAAAAATATTAAGCAGCACAACCGTTTTCAACATTTATTAAAATAAGAAATGTTTTTTGAGCACCAAATCATCGGATCAGAAAGACCATGTGACACTGAAGACTGGAGTGATGGGAGCTGAAAATTCAGCTTTGCATCACAGGAATAAATTACGGTTTAAAATATATTAATATAGAAATTTTTTTTTTTAAATAATATTTCACAATATTATTTTGATCAAACAAATGCAGCCTCTGCGAGCTCTGTGACTTCTTTCAGAAACATTAAAAACTGTTACCAACCCCAATCTTCTAAACTGTAGTGTATATAATGCAATATTACTCTGACAATTGACAAAAGCATTATGTACATTTGAATTTTGAGCTTCAAAGAAAATAGAAAACAAGCATCTGATGTTTTACGACTACTGCTTACATTTGTGAGAATGCAATTAGCAAACATACTCACCCTGATCTGTTTGTTCTCCTCTCGTAGCCGCTGCACCTCCGTCTGCAGTCTTTTACATTCCTCCATGATCTTCTTCACCTCTCCATCATCCAGACTGACCATGGACTTCATAGACAATGTGGATGATTCCGACTTTGAGATACTGGAGGATATCTTATTGCTTTCCAATTCATGCTGTGGCCACAATCAGGTTTATTTGTGCGCACGCACACACACACACACACACACACACACACACAGAGAGAACAAATCATGAGCAAATGCATCCATAAAAGAGCCAAGAATCTGTTTTGCTTATTAGTCTTAGGAGAGGGCGCCATGACTGCCTAGAGCTCAGAGCTAACATGAGGAAGAACATGAAAACCCATCCACTTACTGTTTTCTCATTTTCAGCGGGCATGTCAAAGACACACCTCAGCTTGGAGTCCATCAGATCCTCAGGCTTGGCGTCCTTCCACTGCACGAGAGAAGAACAACATATGTAAACACGTGCATACATATGATTATGCACCAAATAAACACCTCATGAGCTGTTTATAAACCCTAGCGGCCTGCTTACATACACAGCATTTTAGGCTCATTCCCGACATGAAGATTTCCCGAAAGAAATGTAGTTAATCACACACACATACACACACAGAGAGAGAGAGAGAGAGAGAGAGAACAAATCATGAGCAAATGCATCCATAAAAGAGCCAAGAATCTGTTTTGCTTATTAGTCTTAGGAGAGGGCGCCATGACTGCCTAGAGCTCAGTGCTAACATGAGGAAGAACATGAAAACCCATCCACTTACTGTTTTCTCATTTTCAGCGGGCATGTCAAAGACACACCTCAGCTTGGAGTCCATCAGATCCTCAGGCTTGGCGTCCTTCCACTGCACGAGAGAAGAACAACATATGTAAACACGTGCATACATATGATTATGCACCAAATAAACACCTCATGAGCTGTTTATAAACCCTAGCGGCCTGCTTACATACACAGCATTTTAGGCTCATTCCCGACATGAAGATTTCCCGAAAGAAATGTAGTTAATAGAAAAAGTACAACAGCATATTGAAAAAAAGACAATATCAATCTCTGAAAAATTGTAAATGCTCAATCTACTACAATGTTTGAGTGTTACGTATTTCTCATGCATTAGCTTCACCACACACAAACTGAGCCAATTGTGGATGTTAGCTGTATTCAATTGCCAATTGAGAGAGAGTTTCAAATCAGTCATTTGTGAGGTTTCATTGTAGTTATATCTTAGAAGGTATACACCTTTGTAGACAGCGAGGCAGTCTCTTAGTTTTGGAGCTGAGCTTTAGAGCCATCAACAGGAAAAGTGGAAATAGCTCAGGACAGTGAATAAGTAGCCAGAACTCTGCTCTACATTTTCTTTCTGCTTCTCCATTCCTGACGTTTTCATAACCTATTTATCCTTGCGTCTGCACATGCATACAGATTTTCAGCATGCTCTATTTGGGGCGTCATTCAGAAAGCTCTGAAAGAGTTATGAACATAAGATTTGGATCGTACTTTTGGACCCCACCAAACATTGCTGGAGTTATGTTACACTTGTTTGTATTACTTGAACAGCAAACTCACACCATTTGTATCATATGGTGTTGCTCTAAGCTGGGGGTTCTCATAATATTATTGCTTACTGGCATTGCAGCACAATCTCTATGAAGCTTTTATATTAAAACTAAAATAATGCAAATACTGTTTTATGACCAGTGCTGTTATTGCCAACTTAAACTATTAAAAATAATTTCTGTTAACACGAATATCAGAAAAATGTAAACTTAAAAAAAACAAAACAAAGAAAAGTTTGAAATATTGTCTTGGAAATTAACTAAAATAAAATAAGTTCAAGCTGAAGTACTAATATTATTAAAACTGAAATGAAAATAAATTAAAGCTGAATAGAAATACAAAAAAAAAAAAAAAAAAAAAAAAAAAAAAAAAAAAAAAAAAAAAAAAAAAAAAGATAAAAGCACATAAAATTACTAAAACTAAAATTAAAAGGTACTGTAAACAAAAATAAAAGCTTATTAATAGCAATAAATACTATAAAAGTATATAATTAATCATATATTTATATATTTATGAATTCACCTTCATTTAGCAGCTCCAATATACATTTTGGACCAATTATAATGTCAAAGACATCCGTTTTTAGGATATCAGCAATGGTTTTATAATACATTACATATACAGTCTTCATAGTGTTAATAAAATAGGAGCATATGCAACCAAAAGCAAATGTTTCTGAACAAGTGAACGAGTGTAAAGCTTGAGAAAGCAGGTGGCATGAATCAGTACTCACCACTCCCTCAGTGTCAGTCATGTCAGTTGGGGCCAGCAGAGACTGTACCATGAACTTGTGTTTGCTTTTCTCATTCGGATCATAATCGAACGGTTGCAGCATCACTGTAGATAAACAAACAAGAACATAAAAACATACTGATCAATTAATTTAGCATTTTCCAGATTTTTATTGGCAGGATAGTCAAAAGAGGACTTTTGCGCTGCCTACATGAGCACCAAAAGCTAGGCTCCAACACAATCTCTGCATTTTAAGGAATAAGAAAACAGTAAAACTGCATACTATTAGTATGAGCCAAAGGCGTTTGAACAGTCCAAATGTGATTAAATACTTGGATGTCAAGCATTCATGTTTCACAGAATGACATTAATCTGAAACAAAAAGATTTAGCTATTCATTGCATATAATCCCACTACAAACATTGCTGAGAAAAACTTCAGTGACCCTAGAAGGGTAATTTTTCTTACAGCTTCTAAACTGTGTTTTTCACGTTAATAATAACACATTCAGCCTTTAACTCACACCAGGTGTCGGTGTGAGGAAGTTCACGTCTACAACAGCACCATCCAAAAGAAGGCCATGTTATTTGATGTCATTCCAATGAGCAAAAGCTAATTTAGAGCTGTTACCATGATTTACAATGATCACTTATGCCTGGCGTGTGAGGGCTCTGGCACGGTTGAAATTGGTATTAAAGGCCGAATTCACCCCCATCGCCCTTTTTAAAAGACACAATTTGGATTCAAAAGGGTCTTTTTTTGATCATTGGGGGTGAATGTGTGCGTGATTTTGGAAAACTGCTGCTAAGTTTCATTAAAAACAAACAATCTCTTAATTTCAAAGGCTCTCTTAGATGTGGCTACTACTGCCGAGCACACAGAAGGTGCACACCAACTCCCCCGTGACTTAAAAACCTCACTCTGGTTTTGTGTGCCATTATGGCAATCAAGCACCGTTGATATTGCAAACTGAAAACAGACGACTGAGACAGATTGGGAATGTCCTGTTTTGTCAGTCCCAATCTTTCCGACTACACTTGAAAGAACGGTGTTTCACCATCAGCATCAAGGGAGTATTTTTACACGTATCTACAGAGGAAGAGGGTTTAAATAAGTCTTGACATGGCTTTATTTGTACAGCTCACATCAGTAATATTTCTGTGAAAATAAAACATTGCACTGTGCAAACATTCAGATTTCTCACACGTAACTGCTGCTATCCTTGACCAAAGAAGTCTGTTCTAGTTCAAAATATGATTTGTCATTGATGGTGGCAATGTTATATTATTATATGGACATATAGTCTTTGCTCACATTGCATATACATCTGTTTTGTTGTCAAAGTCAATGTTTAGGACCGACTGTCCACACTGTCATTTTGTAAGCGATGAAATCTGTGATCTGTTTGTTTCACCAAAATTGTCGTCATTCATGATCTGATTTATCTACACTCCTGTTTAAAAGTTTGTGAAAGAACACTTTTATTCAGCAAGGACACATTTCATTGATCAAAAATGACAGTAAAGACATTTATAATGTTACAAAATACTTCTATTTTAAACAAATGCTGTTTTTTGGAACTTTGAATTCATCAAAGAATTCTGACAAAAATGTATCAGTCTCTGAGAAAAAAAAAAAGAAGATGTTTCTTAAGCAACAAATGAATGATTCAGAATGATTTCTGAAGGATCATGTAACACTGAAGACTGGAATAATCATGCTGAAAATTCAGCTTAGCATCACAGGAATAAATGACATTTTAAAATATATTTAAATAGAAAATAGTTATTTTATGATATTTCACAATATTACTGTTTTATTTTTACTGTATTTCTGATCCAATGAATGCAGCCTTGGTGCGCATAAGAGACTTAAAAAAAAAAATATATATATATATATATATATATATTAAAAATCGTACCAAGTACAAACATTTGAACTGAAGTGTTTATGGCGTAAAATCCACATCACAATCCAAATGACAAAAAACCTTACTGTTTAGTAGGGTTGGGTACCGAATTCGGTACTTTTAAGGGTACCGACCGAATTGCGTCGGTACTACCGAGTACCGATTCATGTTAAATCAATGGGTGCCAAATTTCGGTACCTGAGAACGCCTCTGGGCACATACGCTACAGAGAGAGACCCTGTGACGTGATGTCACCCCTGCAACTCGTTCAAACAACACACAGGGCAAGCCGAAATGTTCTGAAGTGTGGTTACATTTCTAGGGCCATATGGTTTCTGCGAAAACGCGGACGGGATCATGGAGTCCATTCATAAAAAAGTAATTTACTCTATTGTGCGGAATGCCACGGAATTCGTAAATTTTAGACGAATACATCAAAAGTAGCCACTGCCACTTAATTCGAATCGCGATATGAGCTAGTATCTGTGAATATTAAAATGCAAAAAGACGGTTTAAATATGAATCCTGCATGTTCCGCTTGCCTCTGTATGTATGAATGGCGGAAACGCAGTTTTGTTTACTACACAAATACTGAAGCACGCGTGACGCTCGCGGTGATTTTTGGTCTCTGCGTCTCACTATATGACGGCATGAATACAACTTAATCTCCAGAGCTGCTGTGAGAGTCACTTCGCGAGAATTTTACCATTTCATTTGAGAAAACTAGCATCATCATACTGTATACACACAGAAACTTCATGGCAACCAGTCAAAATAAAAGTACGGTTTAACATGTAAAAGTAATATATTGCTCTTGTATTACTTTTGTACAGTATAATGTACATCTTTAAATATTCAATTTTCTATCAAATTTAAATAAAACAATTAAATGATAAAAGTAAATATTACAATCAGATTAATCACTTAATTGTAGAAAAAAATATACAATTATTAGCCTATTAAAAAATTTTTTAAAGGAATATTCACACAATTCTTCTTCCATGTATTAATTTCAACAGTAAACCTCAGTTTGTTTACCAAAAACTAAAATGGTTTAATTTTCTTTTTATTTAAAATAAATGTTTAATGCCTTCATTTGATTTTCAGAAAAATTTTAAAGAATTTCTGGGGTGAAAAAAAAAGAAAGAAAGAAAGAATAAGTTTGTAGGGCCCTATTGTTCAAAATGTTGAAATTGAGACTTTTGGACTTATTTTTTAACTGAAATAAATGTTTTTGTAATTACACAGAGTAAAGTACCGAAAAAAGGTACCGGCACCGAAATTCAGGTACCGATACCGGTACCGTACTGGTTAAAATGTGAACGGTACCCAACCCTACTGTTTAGACTGAAACAATTATATGTAATTAGATTTCAAACCACATGTGAATTTGAAAAACAGATTTCCTGTGTTTTTCCAATGTTCCGACTACAAATAACTGATATACAAATAACTGACCACGTTTGGCACAATCTCTGTCTTTTACACTAATTTTGTGAGTTGTCTGCACATGCTGTTCTTTCTTGTATTCTTTGAAGGGAACTATTTCTAATCACACTAAACTTGTGTAGTCACAGATTGAGCGGTCATCTTTAGGGCCGTTGTCTGGGGGCAGGACAACTGCATAAAAACGTTTCCCTGGACAATGTGAATTCAAGCGACGATAAAAACTACAACAAAACACCTGCATAAAGACAATCATTCCTCTGCATAATTAACTGGATCCCTGGAGATAAAAAGCGAACAACGCTATTAATTATGAAACATGACCTCGGATTACCCTCAGCAAAAACTGTGAAACCTTAATAGAGAGAGGGAGATGATGTGAGAAAATTCAGACAACATTAATGTTTGGAAAAACGTATGTAACTTACTAAGTTCCAAAGTTTCTGAGTCACAGAAAGGTATTAACAAGTATAATAACATATAATATAATTAAGTGGTCGACCGATATTGTTTTTTTGACAGCCGATGCCAATATCTTGGAAAGCAGGGTGGCCGATGACCGATATGAATGACGAGTTATGAATGAATGAAATGCCTTTGTCCGCTTGAGAAACGCTTTCAACTCATTTATTTTTTTTTGTATCGAGTAAGACACTGTATGACATTCACGTTACATGATTTGACTGATTTTTACATAGAAAGGGCGACAGCGCACCACATTAAAAGAAAATGATATATAAACGGTTTTCATAATCGCTGGCCAAATTCAAAAACGAAACTAAAATTAAATCATCTTTGAGAGCAAGGGGGCCCCCTGGTGTTTCGGGGGCCCTACGCAGCTTGCCTTCTTTGCGTATGGGGAGGATCGGCTTTGTGCAGAGCATACGAGATCATGCAGGATACACATGCACACTTCACAAGTTTGCAAGGTTTGTGAAATTAAATGTTCATTAATAGACATTCAAAGATTTGTTCAAATGATTTAAATGCGCAATTGCTGAATGCTGACGAGACAGTATTATAATGTTTGCTTTTCTATTACTAATAATATAAAAGCAATCGTTATAATACTTTTTTGTATACATTTTAATTCCTTTGTTTAACCGTTCTATCTGATTATTAGACAGACTTCTATCCGTATTAGACAGAACTGTTAACGACGACAGCAAACAAGAGGGAGAATGTGAGCACTGTGTGCTCAGACGCTGCCATTCTCAGCGCCGTCAAAATAAAAGTCCTGCCTCAAAAGCATCGGCCAAACAGGAAAAATTTATCGGCCGATGCCGATATTTGAAAAATGCCAAATATCGGCCGACCACTAAATATAATAATATAAAAATATATTATAATTATAATAAATTAAATAAATTATAATTATAAATTTTTTTAGACAAACATAGGATTAAAACAGGATTAAAAGAAAGACTTAAATAAAATGCTTCAGATCTATTTTAATTAAAAAAAATATTAAACTGAAAACTATTTTCAAATGTGTCAGCAGGATAAAAGTTCTGACATTTTATCATAAGAAATTACATATAAATATATTAAAATACAATTACAATTGTTACTATATTGCAGAATTTATTAGACAGACAGAAAAAAACTGAATACATTTTCTGTCAACATAGTCACACTAGTTTTCTGTTGTAACTAGCAGTGTGTTACAATCACAATTACCAGTAACCCCAAATATTCCTTTGCATTTAGATATTTCACTTAGTGCAGATAAAACAAATGTTGCTGCTAG